GATACTTGTACTTTTACTCAAGTATCACTTTGAGGTACTTTATACAACACTGGTTGTGTATATCAATCACCAGGTTCAAATATACAGTTCACTGATCAAATCATGGAGCTGTTGGACAACAGTTCTAACAAAACAGGTTTTCTGTACTGAGTAATGATATACATAATAATATAAGTCTCTGTTATGGACCAGGGTTAATAACATGCAGTAAAGCCTCATGTTTACCTGTGAGATATTCTGGAAGGCAGTTTCTCTCTCAGCCTCCAAGGCTTGCTGAGTGGTGAGTGCCTGCTTCAGTTTCTCTCTGAGGTCCTCCACTGTTGTTTCCAGCTTTGTCCTCTCCTTGCTCAACTCTTCCACCATGTTAGTTAGATTACTGGAAAACAAACAAAGCTTACAGGTGAATCCATATTCAGTCCCAGTGTTTAGAGAAGAGCTCCAGGGCAGCTGACTCACACTCGCTCCTGGTCCACAGCTTGTTCTGCTTGTTCAGAGAGCTTAGACAGGTTGGAAACCTCCACTTTTAAACTCTGGATGGTCTCATTGTGTTTCCTCTCTTTTGTATGAGCAGCATCAATCATCTGCCACGCTTTGTTCAGCTCCTGCAGTGACAAACTACAGTTTACACCTAAACTTTCTGCAGATGAAATTTAAAAGGAAATCTTCTGGTTTTAATAAACCAAATCACGTATTTGTTTCTATACAATTCTTTTAGTGACTTAATGCTGGAAACGTTTGTAAATTATAGACCATACTTAAGGAATGCAAGTCATCTGCAGCCCTTCATGCCAGAGTTTGATTCAAATCATCTACTGTTGTTTTTTATTGCTTTTAAAAATCAGTCGTGGACAATTATAAACTGGCCTTTTTAACAAAAACAGAAAAAAAACATTTTAAATGACAAGTGATATTATAATCCTAGGTTTCCTGTAGGGCTGGGCGGTATGACCTCACATTCATGTCACGGTATAAACTGAGTCCCTTCACGGTAAAGGTTTATATCGCGGTAGAAAACTATCATAAAAAGTAAGATAATGTTATTTTTAGAGCTTTTTTACGCAGAAAACTAATCTTAATCAAACCCAGCATTTTTGCTTTAATATCAGCCTGCCATACAATGAACTTCCACCTGCTGAACTTATCAGCTGCTGCGCTCTCATCTTCATCGCTGTACGCTCATCTTCATCATCGGAGCAGAAGCCGACTTTACATTAGCAAGATGGGTTTATGACTGAACGAACGTCCACGTCTTTTTTTTTATCACCTCAGTGGGTAACGATACATAAAAACAAGTTTTTTCTCCAACAACTTGGGTGTGAAAAAACTGTTGTTATTAAAGCTTCGCTCTGCGCGACGTGCAGCGGGAGGGAGGGAGGAAATGATCCCGACGTAACTTTTCTACAGTTATTTCTGAGTTATTCCTTAGTTCTGCTGCTCAGACTGCTGGAGGACAAACTGTCCACATGTCCTCACTCTGCTGCTGTCTTTAGTCTCGCTCCTCTACATGTTTGTTGTAATTATTTCTATCAATAACGTTTTCTTTGTCTCTCTTCCAGAGGAAAATACGCCTGGACTTATCTCTCTGTGTCTCTTTCCTGTCCCCCCAAACCCAGCCGGTCCTGAGCCTGGTTCTGCTGGAGGTTTCTTCCTGTTAAAGGGAGTTTTTCCTCTCCACTGTCACCAGTATGCTGCTCAGGATGGAGACTGTGATGAAGTGATTCAACACAATCTGCTGCTTCTTTAGAGTGATTTTTGTGTACAGTACCCTGAGGTGACTGTTGTGACCTGGTGCTGTATAAATAAACTGAACTGAAATTTAATTTCTACAAATTGGTGCCAATCAAATACAAACATGCAATGCAAAATGATCAGCTCATTAAAGTGACTGTGCTAATGTAACTCAGAAAAACAAAGTAAAAGTCAGGATGGAAATATCCCAGGAGTTCTCTTAAAACCATTATCAGTTTACTGAAGGAATACAGGAACAGCAGGTCATCTTCACACAATGAGCAGAAGAACAGTGAGAGACCACCAAGACCCCTGACATCACTGAGAYGGCAGGGGCGGGGCCACAGGGGCATTGGCCCCTGCTGAAATCTGATTGGCCCTCTGACGTGTCCCTGTCCTGTCACTCATCTGTCTTTTTGCTTGAGAGCAATGGTGGTGGCTGCAGTTCCATGCCCAAACACTAGAGGCGCTAATCAGTCAAACAGTAAAGTCCAGCATGAATCCATCTTACAATCTTCTTTAAAAGACTTGAACAATTTTGCAAAAATATCTTTCAACTGGCAAATAATGGCTTCATTTTCTCACGTGCTTTGAGTATATTTTATCCATGTACATTAAAATTGCATGTAAAATTGATAAGGAAGCTTTTTAAATAACATTACATTACGTTACAATTTTTAGAACATATGTGACTGCTTAAATTTATACACCTTACCAAAACCGGGGATTTATGTGCAAGGATGTTGAACAAATACTTGGCCCCTCWATGAATATTGTGGACCCTTACTCAGAAAAATCCTAGATCCGCCACTGTGAGACGGATATTACAAGCTTCAGCAGGTGTATTTTGTCTTGTGTGAGAGTTTCTTGAAAACATTTTTGTCAAAAAGGCCAATTTATACTAACCATGAGTGATTTATAAAAGCAACGAAAAGGTCCACACCTGTTTATTGCTTTTTGTTGCCGTTACTGTGCATCATTTTCTGAATGATTCAGTGAATCATGACATATTTTACTAAAAGACAAACAATAGTGACTTCAAAAGTGAATGCCACGGTTGAAATGTTGTGTGTGCTCAGAGTTTGTTTAGCAGCTGATGCTCAGTCACCAGTAAAACAGGCTCAATTCAGCTGTTATATGTTTTCTATGGTCAGACTGTGGCCACCATCCTGAACTGGGTAAACTCCAAACCTCATCAGATGTAGATCCACTGAAGTCCTTTAGAGTTTCAACACAAACTCGTTCGTTCTGTTCAAGATATTTGGCTACTACCACACCCAATTTAAGCTCAATGGGCCTCATGCAAGAACCGTTCGTACGCACAGATTTGTTCTTAAATTGTGCGTACGAGTGATTTAGGAGAATTTGTGGCATTCACCA